GAACAAAGACTTCATTGAGAAATGACTGTGAATTCTAGTCTAGGAATTGTTGGTTTGGTATTTATGGAACTCTAGTCCGAGACTAAGCGTGGTCAACGGATGTGTGGTCAGGACGGTGGGCTTTGATGCTCCCTATTGTACAGGTCAAGGTATTAGGGGGTGAAAGCCGACACCGAGTCGACTTTCGGAAGCACTGGTATAGGGTGGAACAAAGAATCAACATTGTCAGTAGATGTGTTTTATCAAGTATATTTCGAGGACTGGAATTGATTGTTAGAAATTGTAGGGATTTGCCGAGGATTGATATTTTCACTCAGAGTATATCAAATATAATTATAATCCAGGAATTGTTCGTAAGTTTTGATTAAGTATTCTAACAGGACAGGTGGAGGAGTATATAGAGGTATATCATTCTAGTACTGGAATTGTTCGTAAGTTTTCATTTAGTATTGCAACAGGACAGGTCGAGGAGTAAGTGATCATCTGAAAGGATCCAAGAATCCGAGTAGATTTTGATTTCCGTGGTCAATGTTTTCGAGACACATTTAATTGATTCCATCCTTTTTTCTAATTTCAGGAATCGATGACTGGATGAAATAAGGTTCATTAGAGTTCGAAACCTACAAAATGGATAAGGATAACGAAGACGGAGTCGCACACCCCAGACGGAGAATGTCCGTGATGAATCGAGATACAATCGAGGGACTGACAACACATCCGAATATTCGCAGAATGTCCCGAATGGAACCTCGTCCGAGTGTCCAGTATGGACAGAGTGGTCGCCGATTGTCTCACTTTAGTCGTAGTAGTATATCCGGTCTGTCGTTGGGTCAGAAGGGTATTTTTAATCACGTGAAGGTACAGAATACGTATCGGCTAGCCCCGGAAACTAAAGAACGATTTAATGCGTGTCAAGCTGAAAAGGTGATTAAAGGTGTTTTAGATTCGTATCTTGGTGGAGAAGATTACGACAGTAAATTCTGTTCTAAAGTTGTTCAGGATTTGTCATCGATTATCAAAGACCAAATGAAAGACTTGGGATTCAGCCATCGATATAAGTTTATTTGTGAAGTTATCATTGGTGAAAATAAAAATCAAGGCATTTCTATGGCCAGTCGGTGTCTGTGGGGGAGCGACGTGGACAATTACGCCAGTGCAACTTATACCAAGGGTAACATTATGTGTGTCGCTACAGTTTTCGCCACTTATTTCGAATAATTCCGTCTTTTTTTTTATGTTTTTCGGCTTTTTGTTATATTTGTTTTATTTTGCATAAATATTATAAACTGATGGAGTTTTATATCCTGTTTAATCCATCTTATTGAGTTAATGAAAACAGGTAAAGCTATGCAGAGGAACAGCGACCACAGCCTATTCTAGTGGCGCTTCTCCTTATCATCAGGCGTGGGGACCACTAATTGTCAAGATGGTCCAATAGCAGCGGGTATTTAAGAACTCATTGGTATGGAATTTGAAAATGGGGGAGAGTGGGAGAAGAGCCACTGCCGTAAAAATGAAATGAATGGAGTTTTACGTCCTTAAGATTGCTCCAGGGATGTGAAGGCTGAGAAAGGTTGGGAACCACTGTTTTACAAAGATGTAGAAGACTTCGTAGTGGAAAGAAAACAACCAATATATTCTAGATTGTTTTTCAGGCTCTATTAAAATAACATCAATCAAATCACACAATATAAATTAAACTATTTTTGGACCAAAATTATAAAGAAAAATTTACAAATTCGAAAAATGCATAAATTTAAGAAATCATTTAAGTGGCTTGCAATGAAAAATATACAAGGTGAGGTGGTTTTAGTGCACAGTTAACTAATTAGAATAATCACCAAACATTGGCGTTTTGTTTTATACTAAAACATAATATATTACTGGTCAATAAGTACAAACAATTTAATAATACATGTAGATATAAGGTTTCTATCCTAGCTATCTTGCCGATGGAAGCAAATTTAAGTGTCAGTCCACAGACATAGACCGGGAGAATTTTATATATTTTACCCCCGTAATGCCACTCAAACTTCGTTAAAAGGTTTCTGCTTGATTTAAGACATGTTGCTAAGTAGTTGGGTGAACAGGTATAGACAGGGTGAAAATTGTATAAAACTTGCCCTTATGCTATAGCTAACCCACACCTCGCTTGTCTATATCTTCCTTGTCTATACCGCCTTTGTCTATATCATCCATTAAAAGTGTTTTATTTTGTATTCAGGCGTGCTGGTATTAAATTTCAGTTTGGGGCAACAGGAATTGGGAAAGCACAAAATAATAAGTAATGCCTCCTTACTGCAATATTCATAGAGCTGTGAAATTATCAATAAATACAACAATCAAGGTATGGTTTAAAAAAAAAGAGAAACAAACTTAACTAGAAATGGCCAGCACCAAGTAGGTAATAACAGTTTAAATGTGGTTTAATAAAGACTGTTTCAGAGAGTTCACATAGCTAATAATGTTGATCACTGATCAAAGTTCAAAAGTCTGAATAAATAATAGAAATATGTCCAAAAACAAACAAGGGACAAAAACGGCCCATTCAAAAAATAAACTTGAACTCTAATCGGACATGACTGGTAAATACAGTCAAATCAACATTCTAGAGCTCTAGTCAGACATGACTGGTAAATACAGTCAAATCAACATTCTAGAGCTCTAGTCAGACATGACTGGTAAATACAGTCAAATCAACAGTCTAGAGCTCTAGTCAGACATGACTGGTAAATACAGTCAAATCAACATTCTAGAGCTCTAGTCAGACATGACTGGTAAATACAATCAAATCAACAGTCTAGAGCTCTAGTCAGACATGACTGGTAAATACAGTCAAATCGACATTCTAGAGCTCTAGTCAGACATGACTGGTAAATACAGTCAAATCAACAGTCTAGAGCTCTAGTCAGACATGACTGGTAAATACAGTCAAATCAACAGTATAGAGCTCTAGTCAGACATGACTGGTAAATACAGCCAAATGGACAGTTTAGAGCTCTGGTCAGACATGACTGGTAAATACAGTCAAATTAACTGTCTAGAGCTCTAGTCAGACATGACTAGTAAATACAGCCAAATTAACTGTCTAGAGCTCTAGTCAGACATGACTGGTAAATACAGCCAAATTAACTGCCTAGAGCTCTAGTCAGACATGACTGGTAAATACAGCCAAATTAACTGTCTAGAGCTCTAGTCAGACATGACTGGTAAATACAGCCAAATTAACTGTCTAGAACTCTAGTCAGACATGACTGGTAAATACAGCCAAATCAACAATCTCGAGCTCTAGTCAGACATGACTGGTAAATACAGCCAAATAGACAGTTTAGAGCTCTGGTCAGACATGACTGGCAATCAATTCTAAAATTCCGAAGCCCAATTGACAAAAAACAAACATTCCAACAAAAAAGTTTCATAATAATAATAAATTTACAAGCTTAACCTGCCAAAATTCATTTATCAATTAACTACATGAACACAAGAAAATGTAATTTTGGCAGGTTTTGTTGATAACCACTAATCACTAATGGTCTATGGTATTTAATGTGAAAAGGGGTTACAATAAACTGAGGACAAATTCACCAAAAATAAGATAAAAACCAGGCCGTGTATTCTCTAAACGATCTTGACACTAAGATGTCCTAGAATCAATGTTAGAAGATAAGAACCTAGGACATCCTAGAATCAATGTTAGAGGATAAGACCCTAGGATATCCTAGAATCAATGTTAGATGATAAGAACCTAGGATATCCTAGAATCAATGTTAGAAGATAAGACCCTAGGACATCCTAGCGTTAAGATGGTTTCTAGAATACGTGAAACTGTGAAATTTTACATTGAAAAAGACTATTCTTACTACAAAACAGATCATATATTTTAGTATTTGAGTAACAGGGCACAGGCTAAGTATTCTTATAACAATCTTACTGCTAGGATATTCCACAAACAGTGATAGAAGTCAATACCCTAGAACGTTCTAGCACTAAGATTGTTTCGAGAATACATGGCCAGAACTTCATCCTTAGATATATAGTGGAGCCTCGTTTATCGCACGGTTCAACGAATTTCCAGATAGTTGAGACATGCCATACCATAAACTAGAGTTATATTTTTACCATAGGATCTTATGTATCTTAATGAAATTGACCTCCTGGCTATTGAAAATGATAAAAGAATGAATAAATGGAATTGGTGGAGAAATGAAAGATTAAAGTTCCACCTTATCTTCCTCTTCCTCATGTTTCGTTGTTAATTCTCCTTTTTCTTTGGCTTTTAAAACTTTTTCCATACTCTCTACAACTACAATAAAAAATTTATATCTTGAAGGTTAACCCTATAGGTTAGGCGCCGTCTTCCTCAAGGTAGGAAAAATTCTGATGCCTGTACCAGTGCTTTCGCGAGCGTGATGACCGCTCTCACGCCCTTATACCTAAACATTTAAATATTTCACATAATCAACTGATAGAGAAAGAAAAAATATCCAATGCCAGAACAAGCTACGTTCACAAGAATCCTTCTTGCCAGCTGGTCCTTGTCCAATCCTCTAGAAATTGATCTGTCCTGGGTTACATGTCTAAAAAACACACCTATGGACGTTTGGAAAATCCCCATAAAACAGGGCCTAGTTTTTATGACCCTTCTCCAGCTGACAACTGTCAAAATATCTATCAGAGGCTGGAATAGAGTCAAGCAGATATTCGATCTATACAATTCAATGACTTCAAGGAATTGATAATTTAAGAATTTATAAACTTACTGTGTGATACTGCTGGATAATAATATTTATAACTTTCATTTCCGTTTTCATTTATAAATTCTTTTCTTACTTTACCACTAGAATCTACAAACACAAACTCAGAAGTTAAATACATAAACAGTAGCATAACAAGCTAAATATTACTATTTGACTTCATCTACAAACACAAAACTTAAAAAAATATCTTTGAATTTGACTTTATGTACCAACAGAAAATGATAATCTAAAGCTACTTGCCTGCATGATGGTGTAAATCAAATTAAGAAAGTGTAAGCTGTGGAACTCAATCAAATTTTCTATCATGAGGGAAATTTGGACGACTAACATTTTTTTACGAGGTCATTAAGTTAGGTTCATGATTATCCTTTATACCAGTATATCATATATACTGCCTATCTTGTATAAACAGGTATATAAAGCTATTTGGATAAAGTGTATCACTGTCCCATCCATATTAATATACAGGCCTGGTTTAAATGATGGCGTACATATCCCCAGAGTTGCCTTCTATTCACATTTTATACCTTAATACATAGATCTCTAAAAAAACTAAAAGGAAACGAACCTAAGAATAAGATACGAGGTATATAACCACCATCAGGTGTATACTGACTTTCATTTGGTTCTTCATCATCCTACAAATATAAACCATATTATGTTAAGATTCTGATGAGGGGAGGTAATCTGCTGTGTCAAGGGAGGTAATTTGATATACTCACAGTAACTTTTCATGAAAATATAATTTGAAAAATAATGTAGACTTTAGCAGTCAAACTTTGCTGCAGAGGATGCCCAGACGTGATACTAGTTAATTCATGCCTTCCCATTATCTTTCATAAAAGATCTATTAAATCAAAATCAATTTGGCTAACAGAAAAAAGAATTTCTAAATAGCAATCGGGCATTAATAATTATAAAATAGCCATTAGGAATTAAGAAGATTAGAATTCGAGCTAATTGATCTTTCTTTTAGGTACCAGTATATTATATATCAATAAGAATATTAAAAAACAATTCAATCTTACCCTAGAATTGACCATTACAAACTGTTTACTCAGTTCTTCTATTTCTTTAGATTCAGCAAACTTTGGCATCAAAGCTGTAATATAATTTTCAACATAAGAAACAACTGACTTTGTGATTGGGTCAAAATAAATTCTCATGCCACGGTTAGTGTTTCCTAGAGTTGGTCAGGTTTCTGCTTTCACCCTTTCACCGACAATAAAAGATGAACTCTTGTGAAGCATATTGAGCTGCTGAGATTTCTGTATTTTTTTAATAAAAAATCGACTGATTATAAAGGAAAATATAAACCACACGATAACGTGCAAACAGTAGGGAAAACTCGATAGAATTAGAGTAAATGTGATAGCTATGTTTCGGGACTTATCCCTTTATCAAGCGAAAAAAACAAAAATTAAAAATAATTTAAAAATTTGGGCAGTTGAATATCTTTATTTTAACTATAGTAAGGTGTATAAAAAAATAACAACAATTTCTTGTCCTTTAACTCATTTCTGATTGGAATATTAGAAGTATAAAAAATATCCAATATTAATTTCTTTAAATAAAAATGGGCTCAAAAAAATGATCACAAAAGGTCAAATATAATTATTGCTTTAAATAGATTATTTTAAAATATCTTTACCTTTACAGGCTCCACACCAAGATTTATGAATTACAATCATCAGAGGTTTCTGTCTGAAATTAACAATAACGGTAATGTGAAATGAAAAGATTATTTCAGTATATTAGATTGTAGACAAACTAGAACTCAGAAAGTTCAACTGAAATTGAGCTATTATTGTAATTAACTGAGTTTTATTTAACATGGGTCAGAATTAAGTTTATTTCACAGAAGTTACATGGTCCTTTCGGAAATTCAGGCTACTTCCAGAAAGATTCGAACTCACAGCACTTAATCACCTAGCAGACAACAATCTGATTGTAAATGCCTACTTTTTTTTATAAAGAAAATAATTGACATGAAAACTTACTCTGTTTGTGAAATTTTTAAACCATCTTCTAATTTAACCCAATCTATCTTGTCATTCCATCCTACAATAACACATAATAGTCAAAGAATGAGGTGAAATTTGCTAGAATTATTTTGACTCTCAACTAGCCTCTGATAGTCATTCTTGATAGTAATATTTCATATAAATCTAGCCTTTGTTTTAAGACAAGTTTTTTTTTACCTTTATGAATCTTATTAATACATCATAAAATAAAAAAGGAAAAGACAAAATCCTGGTCTAATTGTCTTGCTTTTGGTTCTGTTGAAAGAGGTTGGGATCAGCAGAGCAGAAGAATAAACAGGTAAGGTGCTAGATTCGAAAAAGAGAGGGAGGGGACTTGTTCAGCAACTGAAACCAAAAATACAGTCAAAATTTATCATAAAAAGACCGCAATTTCACAACTGGCAGTCGCACAATGTTTTTCTCGATAAGTTTCCGTTCATTACCTCTTGCCAATTCATTTGCAGTCGAAAGGGTGATGCAAATTATAAGCGAAACCAAGGAAATTATTGAAAAGTCGGCCATCTTTAAACGTTGACAGTTGACGTGATTATCAAGTCCTTGTACACGTTGCAAATAAATTAAGGGACGCAACTCTTGGTTTTAATGGAAACAGACAACAAAAAGACCATCTATCATTTTGAGCTACCACAGCTGTACTCTGAGTAACTGAACAATTATCTAATATTTTGAATGTTTTACGACTTGATAAAATAAAAACAAAAATAATCTAAAACTTATCAAAGGTATAATATGACTCAATTACTTAAACAATCTAATGATGGAGAGGGTTTTAAGACAGGACTGAAAAGGGAATTACGATCATAATAATATGTAATTATGTTACTAATAGCTAATTGACTAGATCTTTTCTCATGTTTCTGATACACAATCCACATCAGGACAGCTGGTTTAAGGACTTTCGTTGTACGAACAAATTAAGCAATCGAGCCTATTCTACAATAAAACTCTAGAGAAATGTCTCCCTCGCCGTATCTCAAACCTTTTAAAACATATAGTCAGTGTATAGAAGTATATTATTTATATTCATACATACTTAATATAGCAAATTCTAGAAATCTTTCTACGTTTAATTTACAATGTTTTAATGATAAAATTCAATTCCAATTCACAATTAATTTGTCAGCTATGGATCATTAAAGTGTGGGCACACGGACAGTCTTGTTCGGAGACATGGGCACGCGAGGAGACTAAAACTTCCAGTCGGTAGTTTTCCATCTTGTCGATAATCACGTGCGGAGCATGAAATTGAAAGTAAATGAATCTGATTGGATGATGACACTCTGTCTTGCAGATGATAAAACTATCAGAGACAAATATCAAACTTGTTTAATATTATAAATCCTGACGGTAATCTTGTCGTGGAAGCACGGGACCACGCAAGATTTTACTCAAGATTCAAGTCGTAGACAAAAATCTCCAACCAAGACCGCTCGTGTGCCCGCACCTTTAACAAACTGAAATAAAATGGAGTTATAAGTTTTAATTATCTGCATCTATTGGTCAACGCCATGCAGTGTACAATGAGGGAATTTATCAGGACATAGTTATTAATTTACTCTCTTTATATTTCCAAATGTCGAGGATTCATATTACTAATAATATTTATTTGATAGTTTTTTTAATCTTCGTCACGAACAGATCTTTAATCTGAGGACAAAAAAATATAAAAACTGTTAGGAGAAAACTGGCTATCAACTTTCATTCGCTTTATATAATACTCTAGATAAATAATGAACATCACTCTACTACTGTCAACAAGATCTGACAACTTCTTTTCTTTCTCGGGTTCAGTTGGAAACTTAGACACAAATCGGGTTAATAAACTGACAAAATTAAACAAAATAAAACAAAATTTATACTAAACAATGTTGAGACGTAATTCCCGAAAAACAAACACTATCAAGGGATGTGGCCGTCTAATACAAAATGAAATAACTTTCGTCTCTTTTGTAATCTTACATGCTTTCTACCACAATCCCGTTCTTATGACTTTATCTTTAACCAATCATAGGGTATCCAATTTAAAAATAAAATTATTTTGCAATTTATGATTGTATTCTGATAACCGACAATTTCCATCATTGTTATAAACACCATACACCATTGCCCCGCCGTATATATTACTTGTCTCTTCGTAAAATCAAGGCTACAGGCTTGATACAGAGAATCTATTATTTAGTCATTTCATTTTTCCGGGGTTTTATTAGTTAGCTTTTGGATTATTAAAAACATACAACCGTTATATCTAATTAAATATAAGCCAATGAAGCGAAATGTGTGTAGCCCAGGCAATAATTTGACATGGCGCTGAAATAAAAACAGGTCTAGTTTAATACAGAACGATATTTACCTTCTAGATATTTATTTTATTACATTTTTATCTTCAGTTTTACTCTTTATTCATTATTATCAGATATCCTGACCCTAGGGCACGCTCATTCTAAGGGGGCGGAGAGGATGGAAGAGGGTAAAACTCGTCACTTATTCAATTCTGTTTTCTATTCTGTTTTGTTCCAGGGTTTTTTCTGGTTTTGTCCCTGTTTTCTGTACTGTTCTGTTCTGTTCTGTTTTCACTGTTCTCTGTTCTCTGTTCTCTGTTCTGTTTTCACTGTTCTCTGTTCTCTTTCTGTTTTCACTGTTCTCTGTTCTGTGTTCTCTGTTCTTCTCTGTTTTCTGTGTTCTGTGTTCTCTGTTCTGTTTTCTGTACTGTTCTGTTCTGTTCTGTTTTCATTGTTCTCTGTTCTCTGTTCTGTTTTCACTGTTCTCTGTTCTTTGGTCTCTGTTCTTCTCTGTTTTCTGTGTTCTCTGTTCTCTGTTCTCTGTTCTGTTTTCTGTGTTCTGTGTTCTCTGTTCTCTGTTCTCTGTTCTGTTTTCTGTGTTCTGTGTTCTCTGTTCTCTGTTCTGTTTTCTGTGTTCTGTGTTCTCTGTTCTCTGTTCTCTGTTCTCTGTTCTCTGTTCTGTGTTCTGTGTTCTGTTATCTGTGTTATCTGTTCTCTGTTCTCTGTTCTGTTTTCACTGTTCTCTGTTCTCTGTTCTGTGTTCTCTGTTCTCTGTTCTCTGTTCTGTTTTCTGTGTTCTGTGTTCTGTGTTCTGTGTTCTCTGTTCTCTGTGTTCTGTGTTCTCTGTTTTCTGTTCTGTTGGAAACTTTCCATATTTTTATCATTATATATAGGAAAGGAAAAGTATGTAGCCCCTGCTCGGCCCCCCTTCATCTTATGATTCATAGAAACGATACTGAACAGTATCATTGTCTATACGGACCACAGTACAAATCCTTCAGTTTGGCTTCAGGTAACAATCCTTATTTTATGTTATTATAAAATTGTGAAATAAATTTCTTATATTTTTGATACGCACTGGTGGTCCACACCCCGTGGTTCAAATTAGCTGGCAGGTCAGGGGAATTTAAACAAGTTAGAGTCGAAAGCATCATTTATACAACTGGGTAAGGTTAGATAGAAATATTTTTTGGATTAAAATGTGCATCAGTGAGAATGTTTCGAAAACACAGGCACAGGACGTAAAATTATGCTAGCTTACACTGTATTTTGATACTTATTGGATTGTGTTAAAACTATTTTGTTTGGAATATAAGCTGTATCAGTGAAAACGTTTCGAAAAGACTGGCACAGGACATTGTGTATTTTGATACTGTTGAAGATCATCAGGGGATTAGGACTAAGGTTGTGATTGAAATATTTTATTTGGAAAAGAGATTGTAGTATAGCACTGGTGACAAAGTAACGAAAACACAGGCCCGGGACATGGAGTTATGGTGAGATTCTTCTTTGGAAGATTTGGACAGAGAATGATCAGTTTCTGTTAAAGTTCTACTACCTCTTACGTTAAAATGAGTTTTTGTTCATCAGTGGACTTACTTGGTGTCATAACAGAATCCCTCTTTAGTCCTATAAAGCAATAAAACTAGTAATTTTGAGACATGCTTAGAAGTGTTTTTCAATAATTATTTAGTTTAATGAATATATGTGTTATATAGAGATTCTATTCTTTAGTCATGACACCTGGCAATTCGAACTGATGAATATATACTCGTATAGTTTGAGAATTTCATGCCCATTTTAACAGCTAGTATTCCTTTAAACATTGTAAATCATTCATGGCTTTTCATTAATGTAATCCTTGTTTTTATAATTTTAGTTGCGATTTCCTTTTCTTAAAAATATAGTTTTGGCGACCTGGACAGTTAAGAGCGACTCTGTATTCATGGTCAAACCTCTGAACGAATTATTTAAATAATATTTTAATCACTGAGCCTGGTCTGAAAGATATCCTAGTGAGAAATTTTGATTTGTTTACTTTGCTGTTGATTGTTATATTATTTCTAAATTACAGGTTTTTAAGACCCTGTCATTCCAACAAAACCTTCCCACTGGGACTTTTAACTGTCAACTGAATTCGGCCATATTTGGAGTTTTACACCGGACAATTTCTAACACCGGAACAGGATTCACTAGAGACATTCAACAAAGTTGATTTCTGTGACGAGCTCAAGAGATTTGTGGAGAAATTGTGAGACGTTGGACTAACAACTTGTCAAACTCTTGGCAAATCAGATTTGTTTTTAAATATTTTGGAATTCGTGGATGCTCAATTTTCTAAAATTTCATATGGACATCAACAATAGATAGAAAGAATATAGGATAATTGAAGAGTATTTGATAAAGTGAAAGTAAACAGTCAATGAAACGTGAGAACAGGTGAGTAATGATAATAAATGTTTTACGTCCAATATGTGGCGTTTCCATGGACCCACACTCCCCCACTTTAAATTTTTGTATCATTTTACAATGGGACAATATTGCCTATGCCCCCTCGAAAATTCTGTGGCCCCCTAACCTGATGTGTCACAGAAACGCTCCGCGATCTAGGTGTAAATCTCATCCTCACCCCTCCATCCCCACCCCCTTGAATTCCCGTCTCATACAGACGTTATTTACAGCCCTGGGAGTAAGACCAGAGGGGCGGACTATTAATACACCTGGGATCCCGAGGGGCAGACTATTAATACACCTGGGATCCCGAGGGGGCGGACTATTAATACGACTTGGAGTAAGACCGGAGGGGCGGTCTATCAATACACCTGGGATCCTGAGGGGCGGACTATTAATACACCTGGGTCCCAAGGGGGTGGACTATTAATACACCTGGAATCCCGAGGGGGTGGACTATTAATACACCTGGAATCCCTAGGGGGTGGACTATTAATACACCTGGAATCCCTAGGGGGTGGACTATTAATACACCTGGAATCCCTAGGGGGTGGACTATTAATACACCGGGGATCCCTAGGGGGTGGACTATTAATACATCGGGGATCCCGAGGGGCGGACTATTAATACACCTGGGATCCCGAGGGGGGACTATTAATACACCTGGAATCCCGAGGGGGTGGACTATTGATACATCTTGGATCCCGAGGAGCGGACTATTAATACACCTGGGATCCCGAGGGGCGAACTAATAATACACCTGGGATCTCGAGGGCGGACTATTAATACACCTGGAATCCCGAGGGGGTGGACTATTAATACACCTGGAATCCCGAGGGGGTGGACTATTAATACATCTTGGATACCGAGGGGCGGACTATTAATACAGCTGGGATCCCGAGGGGGTGGACTATTGATACACCCGGAATCCCGAGAAGGTGAACTATTAATACACCTAGGATCCCGAGGGGGTGGATTGATATGAAACCTGATATTAAGACCCGAAGGTGGACTACTATGAAACCTGACCCTCTGATCGTGTTGTAGGTGAAGACTAAAGAATCAGAATGAGTAAATGTGATTATGAAATAGGAAGATTGTTCGCCCGTCAGAGAGGGATCTACGGTGACAGTCTGAACGGTTCTCTATATTCACAAGATTCCAGGCTGACATATCAGGTAGGTTTTATTACTTGTATAGAACAACACAGGTGCATTGTTGAAACGTTGTGTTGAAGTAGTATAGAGCAACATTGTAAATTTATAACGTAAATTGTTGAAACGTTGTGTTGATACGGTAAATTAAAGAAACACAAAAGTAGTGTTCTATACGTTTACACTGTAAATTGTTGAAACGTTGTGTTGAAGAGGTATAGAGCAACATTGTAAATTTATAACGTAAATTGTTGAAACGTTGTGTTGATACGGTAAATTAAAGAAACACAAAAGTAGTGTTCTATACGTTTACACTGTAAATTGTTGAAACGTTGTGTTAGGGACCTGAAGACGTATACCACGAAACTTTATTACAATGAAAATGTGATGTTGTGATTATATTATCTAGCATTGGTACTGTAAATTGTTGAAACGTTGTTGCGATGTAGCATATGATAACTCTGTAAACAGATATAGTAAATTTTGTGAAACGTTGTTTTAAAACCCAGAAGTTGTGGACTTTACATTAATAATAACGTTGTAAATTGTTGAAACGTTGCGTTGATATCGAAAAGTAGTGAGCTTAACATTGGATGTGTATAACTTTGAAACGTTGCGTAAAAGCATAAAGACGTATACAAAGAAACTCTTTTATAATGTAAATTGTTGAAACGTTGTGTTGATTAAACTCCCAGATTAATTCTGTGTAATATTTTAGAGAAATTAATGCAGCCCTAAAAAAAAATTCTCTCGATATCTAACTCCGATAGTTCGGGAGAACTTGACGCTGATCTTTAATTGAATATAAATTAATAATATCAAATACTATCATTATCATCAGTATTATTGGTGTTGATTACTGAAATATATCACAGATAATATAATCTGTTACCATGACAACCAAAACGCCATTTTTACAAGTTTCCTATTTAATGATGCCTGGAGTTAGGGACCTAATCTAGGGTGTTTCAATATCGGAATTGATTCCATTGAATTATGTAGGTATGAGTTAGGGACCTAATCTAGGGTGTTTCAATATCGGAATTGATTCCATTGAATTATGTAGGTGTTTGTTATTGCGACGTTTCGACGATGGTTCTCTCGTTTTTATCAAACACTTCGCTTGACGAGAGTATAATCGTCGAAACGTTGCGATGTTTAGATAAATCGGTAATTGTTATCCAAGTATGTTTTGTGTTCATTATAATCACTTAGTTGATGCCACTAAAGGATCTGTCCTTTGTGTAAGCAAAGCGAACATCCACAATGCACTCAAAGCAAAACTGCATTTTCGATTTTAGAATAGATTATACTTCTTGTATTTAAACATGGCTTATGGCTTATGTGCTAACTGATTTTGATGAATATTTAATCTTTATTGATGTTGCCAAAGCTCCTAATTTTTTTATCATTTTGTTATTATGTTTATTGGAATAAAAAAACATCACCCAAGATTTTGAAAAGAGTTTCTTTTGGACATTTAACTAAAACATCATATCTACTTCTTGAAATAGAAAAAAACATCATCTAACTTTGGGACAGAATAAACATGATTTCTCTCAGTAATTTGTCTCTTGTTTTTTGTTTTTCAGAAAAATCGACATTGGTCAGATACCACGATGTCAAACTCGTTCGATTCGGAGAATTCAGATAAATCAAAAGATGGTGAAAAATCGAAAAACTCTTTAAAGAAAATTGTTTTAAAATTTGCGGATTCCACATCTATGCAAGGAGTGCCGAATGTGAACGCTGCAAAGCATTGGTTTCCTAAAACAATATGGACTTTATTGTTACTCGCCTCACTCGGCGCCATGACTCTTCATCTGAAGTTTCTATTCGACACTTACTACTCCTGGCCGAAACATTCTACTGTATCCCTGGGTTTCAGTACCCTGGAGTTCCCTGCTATCACCGTCTGTAATGTGAACCCCATCAGAAAATCTCAACTCTACCTCGCATCACCAGCATTAAGAAATATCGTGGATATCGCCGATCCAGGAAATATTGTCAGAAAACTTGAAGAGTACAAGGTAAGTTGGGTTTTTCCCATTTGAATTTTCTGAAATAATGAAACAAAGGACTAGAACTAGGTTCTCAGGGGCCCTGCCTACCAACTGACTTAAACTTCTTCACAACCATTTTGACGAGGTTAACAGGTTTGGTTCACGAGAATCTTTTCTACAAGCTGATACCAAACCAAACCTATACATGGAGTTGATTTTACAACTTTGGTTCTCAAGGATGGTCTTTGGTTAAAAAGTATAACTATTTAGGTGATAATGATCCTTTCTACTAGTTGCAAAGATCTTTCTAAGTGAATAACTTTGGTTTTCACTGATCCTGTTGAACAGATGGTCTTTGGTCAAAGCTTCTTGGCAATAATTTTACAAGGATAACATCTTATATACTTGACGATCACCCTACCTACAATTTCAATTTTGTTGTCTGCTTCAATTTGGGATGAATTTTTAATTTAATGTCTTTCTTTCTCGTCAATGAACAAAGGTTTCAGATTTTAAAAGTTTATAATTCAACGTAAAAAAAACTAAAATTCGAATTAACATTCTTTTAAATATTGTTCAAGTGAATTTTCAATTCAATGCCTCTGTTGTTAAAGTCGGTCAGAAGAACACAAACTATATTATTTAACCCTTTACTCCCGGTTTGAACTTCACTGATTATGATGTTAATATTTTGACAATAAAGGGTTAATATAAGAGCAACCAAGGGTTAATGAGCCATGATGAAAACTTATTTTATTTTGACGATTTCTTTGTTGAAATGTGACAAAGCGTCCAGTAGATGAGATAAGAATTTAACTAACTTTACGGACGAGGTGATGTTTTTTTAGTTTTGTTTGACGTAGGTCCTGGACTAATTTTTTTTATAATGATTTAAATTATAGTTTAATATCTACCAAGGTGCAGTTCATTAAAAGCCGAACCCACTCAAGGGCACGTGGTTTTAGTATAATTGTACCTATTTGTTATACGAACAACCACTACATTATCTTCACAATGGTCAGGGTATTACGTCTTCATCTTATACCTTGACTGCAATAGTCATCTTTCTTGTATCGCAGAAGTTTGTGAATGCAGCAATTTGGTTGGATCGCACATTGGGAAATACAGCCAATCATTGTCCTCGACAAAAGTTTGTCAACAATAAGCAATAATTTTTATAGTCCTGTCGAGGGCTCTGATTGGCTGTATCCGACCAACTCACTGACCGTGAAAGAAGAAAGAGGACCATTGCAGTACCTTGACTGTTGTGAATGTAATGTCCAATGAGGACAACTCCAAAAGACTCTGACTAGCAATCTAAGAAGTTATATAGTTTCTTAGTCATGGTAACCCAGCAAGATTTTCAGTATCTTTCGTAGTCCTGAATGGCTATCTTTGCAGTTTTATTCTTTTCAAAAAATGGTAACATAACAAAGTTTTCAGTTTCTGCTGTGGTCTTGATTGACTATTTAAGGAGGAAAATTTCTGACCCCACCACCCCCACCCCCCACCACCCTGTCATAACCCACAATGAACCACCCTGGTAATGTTGAGACCCATGTCTCCGTGCCCCTCGTTGTTTGTTTATGATCCTCTGAACAATGTGTCTATTGTTATATACAGTCTGTATTATGTACTTTATGTTTTTATAAAGGAGGTAGGTCGGTCTATTTTATATCTGATTTATAATAAAACTAGTATAATTGAACGAGGGGTGTCGGTAACAAAGGGACACAGGTGGGATCGAGAACGAAGTCTGGATTTATACGACGAAATAAAAGGGTAGGAAACGGGTGCGATTGGGAACGAGGGGGCGGGAAAGAATGGTGGATAACGACGGGCAAACTGTCCTTTTAACTCTGTGATTACTTATATATATTTCATATGCCTTGAACTTGGGAAATTAATTTTGTTATATTGTTCATACAATATGAATGACAAGGTCAGGTTTTATACTGGAGACTGTGAACAATGTAAATGATTTAGAGAAGGGTTGAGAGATGAGCTTTCTAAAGTAAAAGATGAACAAGTGAAATACAAGCTAACTATCTGATCTAACAATAGAGTTTGTAAGATAAAACTCAGTACGTGAATAGAGAGTAGTTTTTTATCAGAATACCTGTAGATTTTATAATAAACAATATCATTACAGCGGCGTATTTTGAAGTCAAGATTAGGTCCTCTAAATACGTAAAATCCATCTGAATTCCATTGACTTCTAGCTTTCCCTAGATTTCCATAGAGGTCGGGAAAAGCCTCTCAATTTAGTTTTGTCCTTCGGGAATTTTCTCGATACGCCCCTGCTGGTCATTATAAATTTAGATCTTAATTATTACAAAATTATTCGTTTTTTTTTTTTTTTTTCATTTTATAAAAAAAAATTAGAAACTTTCACGAAATATTTATTTTGTATGATTTACTTAATTTCAATTTGACGTTTTGATCACATGATTTTGTAGCAGGATGAACTGTATATTGATATTAAGGAATCATTTTACAAAACGGCTATAAAACTCTACTCCATTACATAAATCAATAAGGTACAGAATAGTAGGGCGTAAAACTCCACCGTTATCATATCAAACTACATTGTAATTAGTAACGGATTAAAAAAGTGTTGTTTCCGAAACACAAGCGTATATATTTATATATGTATGTATAATTTGTAATACATGAATGAATATTGTTTAAATGAAATAAAAAAAAACAACTAATTTCAGCAAAATCAAGAAAATGGGGTTCGGAAACGTCGAGATACAAAGAAAAAACAGACCACCCCTAATCCAGTCAAGAAAATTATAAACTTGGTGTTTGGCAAGAGGAAGAAAAAGAGGGGTAGTGGTTCTTCTGAAAGTTCGGAAGAGGTAAAATTATTGAGGGAACCACATTATATCATTATTATCCTAGAGGTGGTGGATTACTAACTCTCTAACTCTCGTCTGTTTCCGAGCATACTTACTTATCAGAGGCTCAGATGATTAGAGCCCGTGGACTAGAGTAGATTGTCTCCTCTCCACCGGGAAATTTCTTTTTTTTTTTACATTATATTCTCCCGAGACCACTCATTAAGTCTATTTGATATCTGTTAATATATTTTCTGGGTTCGAGGTGGGGGGTGATGGTGGGGACCCCTTTTGGGTGGGAACCGAGGAGTTGGATCAACCAGTACCTATGGTAGTAGAGCAATTGATGCTTCCTATATCTTCATCTTTAAATGGCTTTGTTACCTGTTACCCTTTTATGACAAGCTCACATCAGCATCAACGTTAGATAACAAAAATCACAGAGCGGGATTATCAGTATAAAAGTTGGTGTGTTTGGTTGGATTGTGCGTAAGCGAATACAACCAATCAGATTCCTCGACATAAAATATGTAAACAATAAGCGCTGTTTAACGTCTTTCTGCCGAGAGCTCTGATTGGCTGTATTAACTGGCTTAATTATTGTATTAGTATCAAAGTTAACAGATTTCTGTATAATTAATTAATGGTAATTACTATTATATAGTTACTAATTACTAACTGTTTATTTAAAATTTATTATTTGTTATTTATTTTTTATATCAAACAATATAACAACTTACAGGGATAAAGTCGTCCCTAAATACCGATTTAAATACCTCTTAGAATTTATAATACGGCTTAGAATGGTCAATAAGAGTACATATTCAACAGTGGACTTTCCTGGTTGTACCAGTTGTAAGGTCAACTGTAACCCCTTTTAGAAAATGAATTTGGTTTCAGTGTCAGCATGATATAATTTACTTCTTGAAAGTGACAAGTTCCTTTAGCAACAGTACGTGATTATCCATATCTAGCCGTTGCTTGCACAATCTCATTGTAGACCATATGTCACCACCCAATTTATCCAATCAGGAATAACTGTGTGGATAACCATCGTAATGTACCGTTGCCATAGGAACACGTGAAAGTGGAGGACCTACGGCGACCCACTTAATGTTAATCCGCAGGCGATAAATCATTGGGCAGCAAGTTTCTAAATTAGGATATTTATTGAAACAGGACCGTAAGAAACTCACGAACTTTGTGGGGGTGGGAATCGTGGGGTGTGGGTAGAGACTATTGTTTTTTCATTGGTTTGCGATGGGGTGATGTTGTCCCTTACCCTCAAAGAAAATTTTGAACGTGAAGGCTGATTTACGTCCATTCTGGACAGTTTCCAGATGAAAATGGAATGGTTCCTATCCCTGGTGTTCCTACGACTCTGTACTATTATCAATAGAATATAATATCTAATTATCAACTAATATCACTATATCTACTAATTATTGATAACTTGTCATTAACACAGGTCGTTAACTAAGTACTTTATTACAGTCAATTGATAACAGATTTTGTATAATAAATACATGTATATTGTATATTGTATATATTATAGTCAGACTACAGTTCCAAATACCAGAGATGTAAAGTTGTAATTTGGACTACATGTGTTCAACTGTCGTTCTGGTCCATATTTCATAAGAAATGTCATAATTAATATGTAATGAAATATGTATTTATCTATTTCAGAAACCCAGCAGACCAAAGGGTAACAATGAAAAGGCAGACAATGAAAATATTAAAAATGATAAAAAATCAAAACAAACTGATAAAACTGATTCAGTGTCAGAAACTCAAGATTTTACTTTAAACACAGTTAAGCGCAAAACATTTATAAGCATAAATACGGTTACGGAACCGGCTGCGGTGGTAGAAAAATTGACGTCGAGAATTCCGACAGTCAGTGAGAAGGAAAATGAACCGGTTAGTGATTCGAGTACGACTTCAACTGCGACCGCGACTGCGACTGCGAAAACAACCTCTTTAGCAAAATCACTAACCGCAGCCGAAACCTCAAACTCCAACACCGAAGTAGGTTTAGTGAACACAGTCAACAAAAAAACAAAACCAGCTGACATTTTTATTCCGATTGGACGATTAACAACGTCTACAGCTACTACTACGTCCAAACAGACAACGCAAAAAACTACCTCATCTACAACCGCAACAACAACAAGTACTCCTGCGACTACGACAAAAGAGAAGGCCACAACAGAGGCAACGGAGTCGTCGACGCCCCCGCAAACAAAGGCATCGACTGAACATCAAGAGATACGAACAGAAACGAGTCCGACTTCGACCTCGTTGCGATCATCTGAAACGTCGGAAGGATCCACAGACGAAATATCGCAGACAACAGAAGATCCTAAAACGAAACTGGGGCAGGCACAAAAAGGAGAAAAGAAACTGAAGCCAGCAAGTATCCTATTTAAAAAGGTGAAAGCGATAAATGAAATGAAATTTATAAACCAGCTGAAATTCGACTTTATCAGCCAGCGAGAGCTTGCCATGGCAGAACTACAGATACAAAAACAAGCTGACCTGGCCCTTCCTGAAGAATCCATGATGTCTAAAATTATCTCCGAATTTCAATATTTATTCAGCCAAGAGGATAGGTTAGTATTTCAAAAATAAATCTCTTATAGCATTGTGTATTGTGTATTGTTTATGGAAATTGAAACGTTTCTGTAATTAAGGGAAGGAGTGGTAGTATATCCACGATACATCGTATCACGAATACCGGTTTTTACATGGTCTTATTATCGGATCACGAATACGGGTTTGTCTTATTATCGTATCACGAATATCGGTTTGACATGGTCTTATTATCGTATCACGAATGCGGGTTTACGGGTTTGACATGGTCTTGACATGGTCTTATTATCGTATCACGACTACGGGTTTTGACATGGTCGAACAAGTATGTTGAATGGGGGGGGACACGATGATCCACGATAGTGTTTTATTTTCTAATAGCATTATCTGTTAAAACACTAATATAATCATTATCTATTTTTCTCCAAATTGTCAGCTATCTTTCCGGTGAATAATGATGCTTGCAGTATTGATTGTTGCCACAAAAATCCGTAATATTTTAAGGAAGGGATCGGTTCTTGAGACGCGAAAATAGTCCAAATTTTGACATCTCGCTCTGTTATTTTTAAGATATTTTCAACAACTTTTTAAAATTTCCGACAGAAATTATCGAATCTTTTAAATCAACCAGATTGTTGTTAGTTGCAAGATCTTTTCAAGTTATTTATAAACCTGTTTTCAGATCACATAATATTCATTTTTTCTAAATCAAAACAGAAACATGAATATATTTTCAGGTCGACGAGAATTAAAATGGGGCATCAACTGGACGATATGTTGGTAGATTGTTCATTTGCTGGTCGAGTTTGTCATCCCCAGTGAGTTATTCCACATGTTTATGTTATATTACATCCAAAGTATTTGAACTTCGTCGTATACCTTCGCTGCATTAGTCACCTTTTTGTGTCACAAACTACGTCTTCACAATGTCAAGCTATTACGAACTTTGTCCTACACCTTGACTGCAATAGTCACCTTTTGTGTATCATGGAATGTAATAAATGAAGCGATCTGATTGAATTATACGCTAGAGAATACGACCAATCAGGTGCCTGGTAAGAAAGATTGTTATCATTAAGCCATGTTTGCCTGTTGAGGGCATTGGCTGTATTCTCTAGAGTGATACAAGAAAGGTGGCTATTGCAGTCAAGGTATAAGACGAAGTTGACATTGTGAATTTGTACAAATTTCGTACTAAGTTATTCAAACTTTCAATAGATCCGAAGGATAGTGTAATGTATTTTAGGATGATGGAACTCCCCCCCCCCCCCTCTCTCTTGCAATCCTTCTCCCGGGGATTTAATCAAAGTTATTTGTGTTGTAGGAACTTCAGTTTACGAGGAACTACTGGAATGGGGAACTGTTTTACTCTTCAACACAGTGGTCTGGTGGCTCATACTAGTGGTTATAATAACGGTAAGCTAAACGATTATATTACAATTTATAAACAAGATTGACAACAATAAAAACCTTTCAATATGGCGCATGAAAAACCTGACCCATTAACATTGTTTCCTAAAAAATTCAATATACCATGACCACCAAACTTATGAGGTAGGGAAATCGAAAGTAGACCATTGCCATAGAAACATCTGTCTGTACAGGAACGACTGTTTTCTCCTTAATGCTTCCACAAGTTATCTTTCCTCATATGTTAACATAAGTAAAAATTTTGCAGCTGTGCATATCAAGATAATTTTTGATCCTTTTATAAACTTAATTTCTTTCTATTCGTACATGATAGCTTTAAAGATGACTTTCCTTATATTTTAGTGTCAAATTAAGCAAACTATTTGATTAATTGGTGTTTCTGATGTATTATCATGTATTCTTAATCATATCATTATGTTCTTATTGTATATAATTAAGAGTTTTAACCAATCATAAATGTACATACATGTACAGTCTGGATAAACAATGAAAAGACTTTTTGACCTTTCTTGATCGGTCACTCATTGGAATTCTGCTGGTCATTCTCTTCTAATTTAGCTAATTAGGACTTAAATATGGACATGTGAGACAAACTGGTATTTTTCCAAGTCATTAGAACACCTCTACTTTCTATTCATATAAGTATTAGCATTTTCATTTTCATAAATATAAATAAGGGAACCCATCTTAATAATGGGTATTATTATAACAGAAAACACAAGGAAATATATAATGGTATAACACACTTCTTTAATAACAAAGTACATAATGTTTCAACACAATTTACAGTGTTGTCATCAGATGAAATGTTCTGTATACTTTAAAGAAATGATAAGCCGCTAATAGACGAAATAAAATGAATGGAGTTTTTCTGCAGCATGTGGGCTAATGAAGACGGCGCGAATAGACGAGGTACAGTGTTCGGTGCGGTGTACAATGCAGAATTATTGATACAGTAGAAAATAGAAGAAACGAATTGTATCCACACCGTGTCCGGACCTGTACCTCGTGTGTTCACTTCTTCTATTTTCTACTGTATCGATTATTCCGCATTGTACACCGCACCGGACACCGTACCTCGTCCATATCGCGGCTTTATATCATGTTATATTCCCTTGTGTTTTTTGTTATATATTCTCTCCGCTTCTAAATGTCGTTCAAATTTGATATTATTTTATCGTTTCAGGTATGCAGTTGATAGTATATCTTGAAGATAAAGAATATATTCGAGGTTTAACGTCTGGGTCGGGGGCTCAGGTTGTTATACACGATAGAAACACGTGCCCCTTCCCCCAGAACGATGGTATAGCTATAGCCTCAGGAACAGAGTCCAATATTGGTTTAAGATTGGTGAGTGAGTATAAGAACCATTAAGAAACAACAGTTTTATGAATATAGACTTCTATTTATCATTTAAACACGTTTCATTACATATACAGGTGACGTTCTCAAGTGATATAACACAACGTTTCATTACACATACAGGTAACGTCCCCCAGTCTCTGTACAACTATAACTAAGACAGGGAAGTCAGAGTCCAATAAAGGTCTCAGATTGGTAGTTTATTTGTCGATAATTTGAGATTAGTTAAATCAATTTCAACCCTTGATGTTTTCAACTTGAGGATGCTTTGCTACCAGATAGTAGGGCCAGATTGTTAAATCCCTGATGTAGTCTCTATCATACAGTGCAACTATGTCTATGTACAGGAACGACTAAGACGTGAAAGTCTGAGAGTCTGTTAGGCGGAGGATGTAAACATGACAATTAACAGTACATGACAATTAACAGTATCTGTATATTGAACTCTAGGTAAATGTAATTCGATTGGGAGAACCACACGGTAGTTGTGAAGAAGGTAACCAGTTTCAAGAAGAATATGGTTATAAATACACGAGACAGGTAAATATTAATATTATTTTCAATACGGGGTCAGCTGGTAGCCAGAATCTTCGTGAACCCTTGTTACTCTGGTATACGAACTATTGAGATAAAGTGAATCTATTAATTGATAAAAGATCGTGGTTTAAAGATGCTGGCCAGTTTAAACGACCATGATATTGAATTGTCACCGTTTTAAATCTTCTGGTCTATTTTCAGTCGTGTCATGTATTCTGTCTACAGAACCTGATCAGTTCCCGGTGCGGTTGCTATGACGAGGATGAGGAAGAATTAAATATTATCGCCAATATTCAACAGAAGTACTCCCCGTGTAGGAATATCTCAGGTAAAATATCATATTATAAAACTCTTCATCTTTAACTTTAGATCATAGACCATAAACCAGGAGTATTATTCTTGAAAACTTAGCTTAAAGGGACAGATACGCCATTTCTGGGCGGTTTATTTTAATCTTGAATATATGAAAATAGTCTTCAGAAGTACTAGAAATGTATGAAAATCGCATAATTCCTTCAAAGATACTTCAAACTAGGAATTTTACTCACTTGTTCTATATATTCTATATTATTCTATAGAAGTATCTCAAATTGACGAGTCGTCATTTTAACATTCAAAAGCAGATAATTCTGGGTACACATAGATTTGAAGGCTCAAATTTCGACGGTGAGCTGTGAACACTATTCCTGATTAGCTCAAAAAATTCCAGTTTCTGGGACTAAAGTATGATTGATCAAAAAAGTGGCGCAACTGTCCCTTTAAGATGATTCAATCAACTTTGAATTAAGTTTTATAAAATCTTGAAATCTATTTTTTATCTTTTTGAACAACCCCACTCTTCATTTAATGAACAGAATCAAAAGAAATAAAATAAAATATTCTCAATAGTTAGTCTTTTCAAAATAATATTCCGACGTCTGAAATCGTGTGGCTGAAAACTATAGCCATTACAGACGTCGGATTGTCATTCTGTAAAGTGGAATTTAAGGTATTCTGGAAAATATTTATACTATTATTAAGATTGATTGAAATTCTATCAGCTAGTAAAGTGAAAATATGACAATATAGATAGCTGAATTTGAGGTATTCTGGCTGATGGTACTTCTCTTTGGAGGAGTCCACTACTATATATATTTTTGGCATACTTTGGACGAGATTTTGATGAACGGAATTGTCTTGCTTGTACAGATTTGTATTGAGACGAATAAATCCCTTTTATTGTATTACAGAATTAAAATGTATGGTTGGTGTACAGGCGGACTATGAAAATGGAAAAGAAAACTGTTTCTGTGATAATCCTTGCGTGTAAGATAGCCTTCCTTTCTTTAGTATATTTCATCCAGTTCATTTTACATTCCCCATTATTCCAGTTCATTTTACATTCCCCATTATTCCAATTCATTTTACATTCCCCATTATTTCAGTTCATTTTACATTCCCCATTATTCCAGTTCATTTTACATTCCCCATTATTCCAATTCATTTTACATTCCCCATTATTCCAGTTCATTTTACATTCCCCATTATTTCAGTTCATTTTACATTCCCCATTATTCCAGTTCATTTTACATTCCCCATTATTCCAGTTCATTTTACAATCCCCATTATTCCAGTTCATTTTACATTCCCCATTATTTCAGTTCATTTTACATTCCCCATTATTCCAGTCCATTTTACATTCCCCATTATTCCAGTTCATTTTACATTCCCCATTATTCCAATTCATTTTACATTCCCCATTATTCCAGTTCATTTTACATTCCCCATTATTCCAGTTCATTTTACATTCCCCATTATTCCAGTTCATTTTACATTCCCCATTATTCCAGTTCATTTTACATTCCCCATTATTCCAGTTCATTTTACATTCCCCATTATTTCAGTTCATTTTACATTCCCCATTATTCCAGTCCATTTTACATTCCCCATTATTCCAGTTCATTTTATATTCCCTATTATTCCAGTTCATTTTACAATCCCCATTATTCCAGTTCATTTTACATTCCCCATTATTCCAGTTCATTTTACATTCCCCATTATTCCAGTTCATTTTATATTCCCCATTATTCCAGTTCATTTTACATTCCCCATTATTCCAGTTCATTTTACATTCCCCATTATTCCAGTTCATTTTACATTCCCCATTATTCCAGTTCATTTTATATTCCCCATTATTCCAGTTCATTTTACATTCCCCATTATTCCAGTTCATTTTACATTCCCCATTATTCCAGTTCATTTTACATTCCCCATTATTCCAGTTCATTTTATATTCCCCATTATTCCAGTTCATTTTATATTCCCCATTATTCCAGTTCATTTTACATTCCCCATTATTCCAGTTCATTTTACATTCCCCATTATTCCAGTTCATTTT